GCACTACGTTATACACGCACCTGATGAACAGAAGAATATCAAATGCCCTCAGTGTGAGAAGACGTAAGTATGCCAGAATCTATATTTCATAACCAATTCCGAATCTATTCRTAATATTGCAGATTCTGCTATAAATACAATATGCTGCAACATTTAAAAATAGTTCATCTACATTCGTATTCGAAAATATGTGACATTTGTGGAAAATCCTTCCATGGAGGTGAAGCATTCCGCCGGCATCAGCAGGAACACGCTGGTATACCAAGATTACCAATTAAATGCGAATTATGTAATGCTGAATTGACGACAAAATATGGATTAGCACGGCATATGAAAGTAATGCACACGGAGGAATATCAAACACCTCAAGTTTGCCCAGTATGCTCTAAAATATCACCGTCTCTCCGCGCGCACCATACCCATTTTAAATTTATGCATGCCACAGAGAAAAAACACACCTGCAAAATGTGTGACAAAGCTTTTAAACGACCCAAAGACTTACGAGTATAAAAAATTACATGTTTCTGTTAAACTTTTTATTTATCATAAATTCATTTTTTATTTTAGGAACATATGACAACTCATACCGGAGAAGTTCTATATACGTGCACATTTTGTCCACAAACATTCAATTCGAATGCGAATATGTATGCACATCGAAAGCGAAAACATCCTAAAGAATGGGCTGAAAAATGTGCAAAGCGAAATACTTCTATAGGAATAGGACAACAGATACAAAAGGACTTAGAATCCATAATCGAATCAGTAAAAGATGCGGATGAAACAAATTAAATGGAGAAGCCCATCATCATTAAGAATCATTAAATGTTGAATGTATTTTTAAAAATGCGTATAAAAATATACAAATTCTATAAAAACTATTAAATCAGTTCTACGATTTAATTGTAGAGAATGTTATCATGCTTTTTGACTGCGTTATAAAAAATTTAATAATTGTTATCGACAAGTTAATTTTCTTTATAACAGCTGGTTAGATCTGTTTACTTTCAATTGAGAGATTTTTGTGACCAGATATAAAGAGATACCCAACTCTCCTGTCATTAGAAATGAAAGAGCAGCTCATCTACCCGACTCTTTTTTGACGTTTTGCAATTGGAATGACTAGAACGGCCAGACAAAAATTCTAAAAGTAATGAAAAATAAAGAAAATGAGTAATTTAATTGTAAAGTATTTGATGAAAAGTTTTGTGATGTGATGTATAATATTATTAAATTTAAAAATGACTAAATGACTAAACATTTATTAATTAAGACTTGACATGCTTAATTCACTTTATCAAGTATTGAAAGTTCAAAAGTCAGTTGTCTTAATATACTATAAACTATAAAAAAAGGTTTAAAAAGTTTCGCCAAACATTAAAAGTCCAATTTATAATAATATTTAATCATAATAAATGCTTGGGTGTTTTAATTTAAATGCCCAAACATTATTATTTAGTTCGATCTGGTTACAATGGAAAAAGATATGAAAAACGCTMATTTGGAGGCGCTCTCACAATGTTATCTATGTCACAATGGAATAAGTTGGGATCCCTTTATTCCTGTGACTTTCGTGTACCTAGTAGAAAAACCGTCTCAAGTCACAAAAATCAAAGTACAGAATTCAGATAATTGTTTACGATTTTAAGAAGTACCTTATTAGGAAATAATATTTACAGAATGCCTTTTGATCAGTGTTGTCTGTTATGTTTAGAAAGAGTCAGTCCAACTGACAACAGAATAAATATCAATAGCGATGACTCGGAATCGGAAAAAGTGCGGAATATAATTGAACAACATTTCAAGGAAGAGGTAAACATAATTTATATTAATAGGTGATTTTATTTTCACTTTATATTTCCACATAGATCTTCACGATGCCAACAGTATCAAATCAAATTGTATGTAAAAAATGTTGGAAATTGCTGAAGTCATTTCATGAATTTTATATCCAAGTAACACAAGCCCATCTGCAAGCGCATAATAAACTCAAGGCTTTGCAAGAGTTGGAAATATCGGTTACAGACATTAAAGTGGAACCAGATGCTGAAGACAAACTGGCTTTGCAAGAGTTGGAGGAAATAACTGTTACAGACATTAAAGTGGAACCGGATATTGTTGACACATTGGCTTCATCACCAATCGTAAGTAAAACAAAACAAAAATATTGTATTTGCTTATATCGTTCCTTTTTACGAAATTTTAGCGTATATCTTTTTGACGAAACTGAGGTTTTTATTCAAAGTTGTTCTAAAGTAACCTACTTATCATGTAGTAAAAATTATAACTTTCCATTCCTTGTATGGAAAAAGCTATGACCAGTTACATTTTGGCGTTTGTGCCATGCCGATTATCTTTAACAACAATGTTATAGTATGTGGCATACAAAGATATGCCACATAAACTTGCTGTGATGAAATATTACCAAAAACAACAAAGAAAATAGAGCGGTCTTCTTTTGTAGTAATCCATAAAATCCATACACAAAAAGTAGTTTCCAATTAAATGACTACAATTCAGTATTTCAGGCCGAAATTGTTGACATAACAGATTGTTCGAAATAGGCTTTTGCTCCGACCAGCAATTCCATAAACATTCTAGTGAATAGCCAAGCGGCAATTAAGGCTACTCTTAATGCCAATATTATTGCGTTTGGTTGTGCTTTTTTTTATTTTTGGTTACGCTTTTCTGAGACTGCCCATGAACGTATTAACGAGGGGACTATTCATTAATGGGGATTATGATTATCTGAAATAAGAAGAAAATCATGGTTACTGTCTTGCAATAAACCGAAACCAATAGGCCGTAGGACTCCCGAAAAACATATAAAAAGTCTTAATACATCTTTTGAATACCGCTTAGTAAAAAAAGGAATCACTTTTGCAGTGTATCTAAAATTTATTATTGAAACTTTGAATGAAATGATGATTAAATTTTTTTACAAATGCATGATTTTTATTGTGCTGTGTAGCAGATTTGTCCCAAGCCAAATTGAAAAAAACGCTCTCCTGTTAAATTTGATTTATGTACCATTCAACAATTTCGCAAAAAAGGACGATATATATTTACACAAATAATGCGATACATATGTATATACAATCTGTTTACTTAAAATGATGATTTACAGGGTGAAGAAAAAGATTCCGATTACTCGGATGGTGAAAACAATAGGTCAATGAGCTCAACTTCTGTAAACTCTGAAAGTCAAGGAGATGACGAGGAAGAGAAAAGACGGAAAACAAAAAGACGAACCCCTAAACCCCGTAATAAAAAACGACACAAAACATTGGACCATGATCAATTTATTGCACAAAATTTTAAGTTGATCTGCTGTTTATGTGAAAAATCTTTGAAAGATTTTCGAGAATTGAAATATCATTATCGCCAAGAACATCAAACCAATGGCTATGCTAAGTGTTGTGGTAAAAAGTTGTACAATCGAGGCGTTCTCGTTGACCATATTCACTTTCATATTAATCCAGAATACTTCAAGTGTAAATTCTGYGCAAAAGTATTATGCGATCGAAGTAATCTCGAATCACATTTACAACATTTTCATGATTCCAAAGAACGCACTATATACAGATGTGATATATGTGGCAAAAGTTTTTATCGACGTAAAGTTCTTGCACGACATTACCTAATCCACGCACCCGAAGATCAGAGAAATGTGAAATACATACGTGTGAAAAAACGTAAGTTTCTCTTTATAATTTTTTTTTTTTATACAAATTTCATATAAAAATGTATATATTTGTAAATTTAGATTCTGCAATCAGTACCTTATGAAACAGCATCTAAATCTGAGCCATCTCAACTTATATGCCAAAATTTGTGATATTTGTGGCAAATCACTGAACGGCAGCGAAGCTTTTCAACGGCATCAGGACGAACATGCTGGTGTGCAACGAACAAGGGAGAAGTGTAAAATATGCAATATGGAGCTAAAAACAAAATATGGTCTGGCGAGACATATGAAAACGATGCACACCGAACTGTTTCAAACATCACAGATCTGTCCAGTTTGCTCTAAGTTTCTCTCACTCTACGGGCGCATAAAACTCACATGGTGTATATGCCAGCGGGAAAAATACATTTGCACTGTTTGTGACAAAACATTTAAATTGCCTAAATCTTTAAGGGTAAATAATAATAATTCAATTTATTGTAATATAATCCAGTGATAAAATATTTAAATAAAAATTATTGTTTAGGAACATACATATGACTACACACAGCTAAGAAATATTATATACTTGCACATTCTGCTCTCAAACTTTCAACTCCAAGACGAATATGTATGCACATCGTAAGAGAAAACATCCTAAAGAATGGACTGAAAAATTTGCAAAGCAAATTATTTCGACTAGAAGGGTGCAACAGGCGCAGAACGAATTGGTATCAACAGTAGAATAGTTATTTTTTTAATGTGAGCATAAAAACTTAATAACAAAATGAGAAAGAGGAAACGGTAAAACAACATAAAATAAGCGCCATATTGCTGGAAAAGGTTCCGGCCGCTGTTATTTTAATATTCATACTCCTAAATCAGTGTTATTTTCAAACTTACATATATAAAACTTTATAAAAAAAAAAAGTAAAAACCAAATCTTGACTGTTTTCGAAATAAATATTTGGGATTTGCAAAAGAAAAAATGTGCAAACAATTTGGTTTACAAGCTATTCAAGATCGAACTAGGAGTTCTMTTCGATTAGTTATCGATAAGTCATATAACTATACTACACAGATATTCTTTTCAGTAAACTCAAAGAGTATAGTAACCTCAAGTTAATAAATGATCGATTTGGTCAAAGTGGAAGATATTTTAACTGGAAGATGTATACTGYCTGCCAATTTAGTCAATTATCCAAATTCATTGCGATAAGATATCCCTATCTTTTCAATAAGTTTCAGTTATCGCCAATGACGCAACACCCTGTTTAACGTTGATGACATTAGACTAACTTTTAAATAAGTGGGATCACTGGCGGCATGTTGTAAACAAATTGTTTTGTAGAAGTTGATTATTTTAATAGACAAAATATATTAAAATGTTTAATGAGACATGTTGTTTGCTATGCTTAGAAAGTTCAAAGGATCAAATAGATTTGGATTGCAACGAAGATATCGGTTTGAATGGACGAGAAGTTATTGAATTGCATTTCAAGGAAATGGTGCGTAATTTGTWTGGATTACACTTATTATTTATGAAACTTTTAATTATTTATTTAGTTGGATATTATATCTCAAATTGAAATAAAATKCATTTGTCAAAAATGTTGGTATTATGTACAAACATTTCATACATTTTATGAAAATGTGATGGAAGTGCACAAGGAAGCGGCGAACTCATTGAAAAGTGTGACTTTGGAGGAAGAAATCACAGAAATAAAAAAGGAAATCTTAGAAGTAAAAGAGGAACTCATACATATTGTTGACACACAAATTAAACCAAGACGTCGTAGGGGACGTCCAAAACGTCAAAGAGGACCTGAAACTGTCGAAGTTCCTGGTGAGCCTTCCATACCGCTTAAAGAATGTCAAGTTAAAATTGAAGAACTAATAATACCCGCTTCAATTAGTCGCACAGATATATGTAATCAAYCTGAATTTTTATCTGAAGTATTAGCAGTTAAAGATGATATTTTACTCAAAGAATATGTGGAGAACTCAGTATCAGCATACAGTTCGGACCCTGAAGAAGTTGAGAGTGACAACGAAGATGGACATTCGAAAAGGGTGTCTCGGAAAATAAATAAAACAAAAGGCGTTAATAAAAGAAYTGCGGAATCGGATGAGTATATCGCAAAGAAAAATTTTAAATTTACTTGTTGCATTTGTCAAACTTCATTAAAAAACTTCAAACATTTAAAAAGTCATTTTCGWGAAGTACATCAAACTCGTGGCTATGTGCTATGTTGTGGTAAAAAATTGCCTGAACGTGGTTTGTTAATWGATCATATTCATTTGCATGAAGATTCTGACTACTTCAAATGTAAGCATTGTGGAAAGAGAATGACGGAAAGACGCAGCCTTGATCTTCATCTTCAGTATAAGCATGCATCTTGTTTGAAACAGCATTATAAAATTAAAGATACAGAAAATCAAAAATCGATACCGTGCTTAGAATGTGACAAAACGTAAGTGCTTATATACCTAGATGTATTTATTTCAATATTATGCATCTTTCAGTTTCTCGTATGACATTGAATTAAGAAAACATATGCGTCTAACCCATTTRAAAGTTTATGCAAAAATATGTGATATTTGTGGTGCATCGGTAAAAGGATGCGACGCTCTCAAACGTCATCAAGCTGTGCATACTGGTATGATGCGAAAATTAGTAAAATGTGATCTATGTGATGCTGCRCTCACAACGAAATATGGCCTAGCACGGCATATGAAAACTATGCATACGGAAGAGTATCAGACACCACAAGTCTGCCCAATTTGTTCTAAAGTGTCACCGTCTCTGCAGGCTCATCGTAAGCACATAAGATATATGCATTCCTTGGAAAAGAAGCATGTATGTAATTTATGCGAGAAGGGCTTTAAACGGCATACCGATTTCAAAGTGAGATATTTAATTTGTGTGCATACCTATTTATTTGTATGGTTTTATAATTTAATAATTTTTTACATTTAAAATTGCAGGAGCACATGGCCACCCATACCGGAGAAGCTTTATATACCTGTAGTTTTTGTCCACAAACTTTCAAATCTAATGCCAATATGTACTCTCAYCGAAAGAAGAAACACGCTAAGGAGTGGGCTGAACAATGCGAATTGAAGAAAAGTGTAGGGGTACTTCTAAATCAGACTATCGCAACTGACTGATAAAAAGCTTTAGCGATTTCGGTGCGAAAATGTTTTAGTAGGTTGATAAATATCTAATTTGAAAGCGTCAATGTATGTTATACATATTCTTTTTTATTGATGGTTTGATTATGAACTCGCAAACATCTACTCCGATTTAATAGAACCTAACTAAAAAATTACATTAGCAATAGTACAGTGTARCCAATTATTAGCGTTTTATGAGATCAACAACAGGAATTATACAAAAATTCAATTCCCGTCAATATAACAATAATCTAATATATGGACATCAAATAGACGCTCTGAAAATTTTTAATGATAGTGAACAAATTGTCCTACCTGAGGTAAATTGATCTTAAAGCCATACAGAATTGGATTGATATTATAACTGCGCTTATAATGAAAACATTATGTCAAATCCGGTATAGTATAATCAGCTGTCGTGGAAATCATCAGATTTCGACGATACTCGACACCAAAGACACCTGGCCAATTACACCGATAAATGCTTGCATTCAAATGTTTYCTTTTACAAACCTATCGATATATTTTCAATCTTACTATTTGAGCCATCGATAAGGTTGCATCACCCTGTTTAACGTTGATGATATTAATAACAATTTTTTAACAAGTGGGACCACTGGCATGTTGTAAACAAATTGTTTTGTAGAAGTTTATTATTCTATTTAAGACAAAATATATTAAAATGTTTAATGAGACTTGTTGTTTACTATGCTTGGAAAGTTCAAGGAATCAAATAGATTTGAACTGCAAAGAAGGTATCGGTTTGAATGGACGAGAAGTGATTGAACTGCATTTTAAGGAGGAGGTACRTCATTGTATGGATTACACTTATCATTTATGAAATTGTTTTATTCTTTATTTAGTTGGATATGATGTCTCAAATTGAAATAAAATTCATTTGTCAAAAATGTTGGGATTTAGTAGAAACATTTCATAAATTTTATGAACATGTGAAGCAAGTGCACCAGGAAGCGGCGAGCACATTGAAAAGCGTGACTTTAGAAGACGAAATCTTAGAAATAAAAGAAGAAATCATAAATAATGACGACGCACAAGTTGAACCAAGACGTCGTAGGGGACGTCCCAAACGGCAAAGAGGACCTGAAACTGTCGGAGTCCTTTGTGAGCCTCCCATTCCACTGAAGGAAYGTCAAGTAAAAATTGAAGAACTAATATTACCCGCCTCCATGAGTCCCAAAGATATATGTAATCAAACTGAAATTGTTTCCGAAGCATTAGAGGTTAAAGATGAGTCCTTGCTCGAAAAATGTATGGATAATTCTATATCGACATTTAGTTCAGACTACGAAGAATCTGAGAGTGCGAATGAAGAAGATAAACAAATAAAAAGAAAATCTTGTAAAATAAATAAAAGAAAAGGCGTAAATAAAAAAACTGCGGAATCGGATGAATATATAGCAAAGAAAAACTTTAAATTTACTTGTTGCATTTGTCAAACTTCATTGGAAAACTTCAAACATTTAAAAAGTCATTTTCGTGAAGAACATCAAACGAGTGGTTATGTGCTATGTTGTGGTAAAAAATTACCTGAACGTGGTTTGTTAATTGATCATATTCATTTGCATGAAGATCCTGACTATTTCAAATGTATACATTGCGGAAAGCGAATGTCGGAGAGACGTAGCCTTGATCTTCATCTTCAGTATGCGCATGGAAATCGGGAACGAGTACATCGTTGTTCAATTTGTTCTAAAGGATTTTTCCGAGCATCTTGTTTAAAACAACATTATAATATTCACGTTACAGAAGATCAAAAAACGGTACCGTGTTTAGAATGTGGTAAAACGTAAGCACTATAGTAAATATTTAAAAATATGGCATATATATATTTGAATTCAATTATTTAAAAATTAAATTTCTTTCAGCTTCCCAGACGATGTTGAATTACGAAAACACATGCGTCTAACCCATTTGAATGTTTATGTAAAAATATGTGATATTTGTGGTATATCGATAAAGGGGCGCGATGCTCTGGAACGGCATCAGGCCGAGCATGCTGGTGTGCCACGAAAACTAATAAAATGTGATCTATGTGATGCTGCGCTCACTACAAAATATGGCCTAGCACGTCATATGAAAACTATGCATACGGAAGAGTATCAGACGCCACAGGTCTGCCCAATGTGTTCTAAAGTGTCACCGTCTCTTCAGGCTCATCGTAACCATATAAAATATATGCATTCTTTACAAAGGAAACATGTATGCAAATTATGCGATAAGGCCTTTAAGCGGCTTACCGATTTCAAAGTAAGTTATAAGTTTGTGCAAAGACATATTTACTTATTTGTGTATTCATATAATTGTACAAATACTTTCCATAATTAATATTGCAGGAGCACATGGCCACCCATACCGGAGAAGCTTTATATACCTGTAGTTTTTGTCCACAAACTTTCAAATCTAATGCCAATATGTACTCTCATCGAAAGAAGAAACATGCTAAGGAGTGGGCAGAACAATGCGCGTTGAAGAAAAGCTTAGCGGTACCTTTGAAGCAACCTGTCGTAACTGACTAATAAAAAAATCTATGAGACCATATTTAGGGTTGATATAAGTAATTTGAAGGCGTCATTAATATCCATTTCTCTGAAGCAAATAAATAAATAATATTTAATCGAAACCATTTATCTTGACATAACCTATACAGTAGATTAGAGCTCTTGAAAGAAAAACAAGTGTTTTTATGAACACCCTAATGTAGATCGCACTTAAAATACTTAGTATTTACCTTCTCCACTAACTATAATACGCAATGTTCGCTTGGCGACACAATGTCTGCTTTGTAATATCTATAATACACAATCATATGTATGTGTGTGCATACATCGGTGTTACATCTGGCTGCCTCAGAAAACACACTTAGGTCGAGATATACAATATGTATGTATGTGTACAAATTGGCATGTAATGCAAGCCTTCTACGAAAAACACTCAAATTATCATAATCACACATTAATTTTAATTGAGTTATAATTTTTCGGTGACCGCAAAAGTGTCAAAACTATTAGTGCGGAGGGTCCTATGGTATAGGCACTTGAGGCGCAAATACATACATGCAAGTAGACATACATATGTATATGTATGTATATAAGCTGGAATTGATAATAAATTGCGCCTCTTCAAAGAAAGTAATGAAACACCTCTGAATGCAGGGGGAAATTCGGGATTTAGGGCAGTGGGAAAGTACATCTGTAACTCGTACGCTCAACTTTGGTTAATATTGCGCATGAAATTAACTTCCAAACAGTTGCCTTTGTCATACTTAATTTATTGCTGCGTCAACGTATGCCACTGCCGTCGACAATTGAGTTTCTTTGTAAGCGCCCCTGCTGTGTGGACAGTGTTAAATTTTAATGTTTTGGTTTAAATGCACTTGGCGGTTGTACTTATGAATACATACATGCATACATATGTATACCCCGATTTGAAGAATTAAAGCAGTTTTGATAAAAAAAAAAATATATATATATTGAATGCCAATGTAAACTTTTTAAAAATTTGTAATATCACTCCCTTCAAGCCATTGATAGTAGACGCGACTTTAGACACAGGGATGCAATCGAGGATAATTGTCATAAATTATTATTTTTAAATAAAAAGTTGTATCTTTATGATTTACCGGCACTCGTTTAATGATGGGTTCATATCCCTTCAAAAGACAATTTAAAAAAATTAAATATATTAAGAAGCGGCATGTGCCTCGTTGGACTCATCATTTTAATACAAATAAAAGAGGAAATCTTATAAATAAAACAGGAACTCACCCATATTGACGACACAAAAGTTGAACGAACAGTTTTAACGGAACTCAAACAATTGGCATTACAACTAAGTTCAAACACACTATACAATGTAGTCTTGTCTTCGGCCAACAGACCCATTCTATATTGCCAACCGCCCCCGGAGCTTGTTCTAAGTCAGCACGATGAAGTATCTGAAGATGATAACCCAAGTTATGAGCCGTTAATTTCAAAATAGCCGAATTTACTAAAACAAAGTGATTTGTTTAGTACATGACTTGAGTCTATCTAAAAAACATACTCTGGCTTTGAGGTCTATAGTAAATTAAACGACTGGAGTTTACTTTCTCCTGATACGAAAACAAATTTTTTGACATTGTGACGATGAAATAAAACTTTGGGGTGTAAGATCTCGTTAAAAAAACATCTGCTGAATTCTTATCTAGATTTCCGGGTATTTTTTTTTTTTGCCCCAATGTATCTCTATGAAAATATTTTGAAAGTGCTTATCAATAAAGAAACTCCTTTAATAATATTGAAAATTGAGAAATATAATTATATAATTAAAGATTATTTCCTGGGTAAACAATGAAGTATAAGTGAGACAAATGCTAGCAATAAATCCAACGTTTAGACTACGACTCAAAAGAATCCTACCAACTAGACCTAGTTCCAGCAATTGCTGTCTATTTTCAAAGACGAAATAAGAGTTTTATCTTAGATGTATTTATTTTCTCATCTCGAATTTAGACATATATAAGTTATATATGAATATTATAATTTATCTAAATTTTTTCTTAAATTACTATCCGTGTATACATATACATTCCTTGTACATAGCTAATAAATGCCTAATATGCGTTTACCGTGTATACATATACATTCCTTGTACATAGCTAATAAATGCCTAATATGCGTTTACCGTCTGGATCGAAGGGACTTCTCAAATGACACTCAGCCTTATAACGTTTCCCCAAAATGTCCACTTCGTATGTGCCCTGTGTAACGTAATCATTATCTATGATTTCGCCATCCTTTCGACTAACGTACGCTTGACCGATTGATTTTCCCAATGCATAACCGAATTCCGCACGTCGGAGGAAGCCAACCGCTTCMCCATTACGATACACGCCCTCTAAACCCCAAATAGGCACTTGTTCGTTTAAGGTTAAATAGACTAAACGTCGTCTAATACCCTCGTTATGTTGCCGATCAATTGCCATTTTGCCTTTGTAGTCACCATTTTTGCGGCAGGTAAACGAAAGCCCAGCTTCAATGGGTGTATCATCGGGTCTTAAATCGAAACTCCACAAATGATAGCCCTTTTCGCTGCTTAACGAGTAGAGGGCACGATAGCCAGCATTCCGCACGCCATCGGGTTTACCGACCGCCAAGAGTGATTGATAGACAGCAGAGCAATGTTCTTTTGGCACATGCAATTCATAGCCGAGCTCACCGACGAAACTCACACGCAATACGCGCACACCCACTTGTTCACCCTTATTTGTTGGACATTTAACACTTGTCACTTGTGTACCATTCGGTGGAATGYTCTCATTCGATAGATCACAGTCGATAATACGTTGGAGTATGYCGCGACTGCGTGGCCCCTGTATGGATATAACTCCTAAGTCGCTGGTAATGTCGCGTAACGTGACATTAAAGCCCTTTTGACGTATTTCAGCGAGTAGTGTAGAGTAGGTRTAATAGGCAGAGGCACCACCAGCCACAATGTAATATCCTTGACCGGTAAACTTAGGATCGTGTACTGCGCCAGTGCCAGAATTGAGACGTGATACGGTAACGTCAGCTTCCACACCGCCACTGCTGTTGAGCACGCAGGTGTAAACGGTTCTGGTAAGAAATAAATACATTTAAGGTCGTCGCTCAATTGAAGAGGTAGTAATAGAGAGTTAAGAGAGAAAACAACAGAGACTGTCAAATTCACCGATACTCAATACTCTGCATTCACTCAAGCAAGTTTTATAAGGTTACTCACTTGTTAGCCTCACGATTAGTGTTGGCGCTAAAGATCCAGTCAGCGGCCTTTTGTGCATCCGGCCCAGACATAACCAATTTGCAAAAATAGCTCATGTTAAAGATGGCGGCGGCGTTTCGGCAAGCCAGTGCCTCTTCCCCGATCTGCAATATATACAAATAACTTTTGCACTATCTTTGTTTATTTACKACGTACCAATTTATGATGATCGGAAAATTCCGAATACTTTARGTCACCCTCGAGCGCTTCTTCATAAGCGCTTTCGGCATGTCTCGTGTTGCCATAACAACCATACCAATCATAGGGTAAGACTTGCGCTTTTTCTTTCATAAAGAAGCCAGGACGCTCCCAGCCCTGCTTCTCTTCCATGAACGCATTTTGTGCCAACATATCCTCATGCAATGGATCTTTCTGGAAATTACGTCCGGCAAGTGGCTGATCATATTTAAAGACCATACTATAATTCTTAGCATAACTCTCATGCGAACGTTCGCGTATCCATTGCGTGTCACGATTCTGTGCGACCGTGAAACGACGCAAATCGAAGCTAAACATTGCTAAATCAGGTTTACCGTTAATTATCCAAAGTGCTGTTTGTTCCCCGCAACCGCCACCAAACATCATGCCAGCCGAATTGAAGCCACAATTATGATACAAACCGTTTATCACCGTATCGGGACCCATAAGAGGCTTGTGATCGGGTGTAAAAGATTCGGGACCACATATTGTACTCTTCACGCCATAATTTCCATACGAAGGACACAATTTTATCGCCCCATTCAGATGCACATCAAACAGGGACCAATCCAAGTCGTAAAGACCGAAGTGAAAATCTTTCGCCACCGGTTCCAATATTATAGGATTTGGCTCATAACCACCCATGCAAATTGCATCGCCTTGTATGCGGAAATAAGTGGAATAATCGTGGTCGCGTATATTCGGTATGCCACGCACACCGGGTATGGTCTCGGAAATAATATACGAGTGCTTCATGGGTATAAGTGGTAAATACGAGCCATGCTTTTGCACTAAATCACGRCCCCAAACACCCGTCGCATTCACGACGGTCTTTGTTTTTATATTGCCGTATGATGTGGCCACACCGACCAATTCTTTGCCCTCAGACGTGTCTTCGACTAACAGATCTGTGACGTTGCAATTCTCAATTACACGACCTCCATTTTGAATCGCACCCCGGGTCAATGCCGTACACAACATAGCTGGATCAACGACACCATCGCCTGGTGAATAGAGCGCACCAATAAAAGATTTCGGATCAAGAAGTGGAAATAACTTTTGCGTCTCTTCGGGTCCCAGGATATGATTTTCAATGCCTAAAGCATTGCCCACAGTGGCGAGACGTCTATATTCATCCAAGCGTTTCTAATGGTTAAAATTAGAAGAAAGAGATGTTTATGCTTTTAAAAATAAATCACAATTGGAACTGGTGAAGAATCGATGATTGATGAGGATGATTGTGCTTTGATTTATTTTTACATATGACTGAAATCATGTTGAAYTGAATGTTGTTGAATTTAGTAGAATGGTGAGTCAAACCGATTTCGAGTAGAAAGTGATCTTAAAGAAACTTGAAGTGGTAAAATTGCCACGCCTACAAAATGAAGTTATGCAAAAATATGGAATCGATAGTTGAAGTTGAACGCAACCTCCTAAACAAATCCCCCTCAAAGTAGTCCCCCTTTGCACCAATGCACTTGTGCCAAAGTTTTTTCAAATCCGCGTAGCGACTCACGTCTTCAATTGCCTTAAAMTGGCTTCCCCGGAGCGGTCGTTTGAGTTTGTTGAATAGCCAGAAGGTACTAGGAGCTRAATCAGGCTGTTGGGTCAGGCTGGTTGCAATTTTGGCTTGAAAATTTGGCA